ATAGGTATTACAGATATAGTACGACTTAGAAATGGTATCTTTTTTGTCTAACAACTGAACAGACAATCAATAAAGTGGACTGAAGAGTTCATTTGTTATTTAAATCTAGATTGGTGTCATCCAAAAGAAATACATACAACCATTAGAAATGAGCCAGAAGCTTTCTAATGTTAATTCTATGCGTTAAGAAAAGTCCTACATCACTGAAATGAAACGAACGACAAACACAATGATGCTAATTCTGTATAAAAGTTATTAACTTGAAATCGGTGGTACTTGGTGAAACTCCATAATTACAGAATTGAGGCAAGCAGACAATTGTAAGTTTTACAATGGTTGTAATAGATGAAATGTTTGTGAAACGTACAATTCTCTTTGTTTTCCTCAATTCTATATATTAAGGTAATCTCTCTGTCACTAAGATGAGACTGAGACATGTGTGTGTTTGTTTTTCTCGGAAATGTGCATTTTACTTAGACTGAATCAATTTCTGTTGGAAAGATCAATCTTGGTATTGTGTAATAATAGTTTAGGTTTTTGGAATTAACCGTTTATATCTATTGAATCAAGACACTCTTTATGAAAAAATAATGATTTAAAACACTTTAATGTATAAATAACTGAAATATATGCGATATATGTAGGTCTAGATCAACAGATAAGTAGATATAAACTAATTTTTAAATCTTCAGCAGGTATATATTAAAAAATGACATCTACAAAAAAGCATGGACTGCCCACTAGATAAATAAGTTCTAGAAATAAGTTTTAATTCCAGTTGTGTTATTTTTTGTATTTGGTTCGCCAATTCAGTTCTTCTTGCAATCGACTAATTTGTTCGATAAAGAAATAAGAAACTATGCTGCATTTGAAAAGCACATTTACTGTTCTATTTCGTAATAAACACAACCTTTTTTTCCTTTGTAACACAAGCCAGTATAACTTCATTTTGTAGCAGAAACACGTGTACGCCAAATAACATATTCACTATGTATACGTTATTAGACCTGTATAGTGAAATTGCGGTTAGCATATAATCGTGTTTTTTTCCTGCTAAAATTCAAATATTACACCTTATAATTCTTTGGAACTGCGTGAATTGCCTTCAGTTTTTATTAGTTATATCACTTACCACGACTAATTTCTCGTTATCGTAAACAGCTGTACTTGAGCTAGTTAAATGGAAATATAATTTTTAAAAATTACAGAATAATATTCTGTAAATGCCGATAAAAACATTGATTACATTTACATGTACATCTAAATAATAAAATATTTTTATCCTACAATGATCCACGTTTAAACCTTATGACTGCACAGCTATAGCATCGATGCTGTTTCTATATTTTGGTCTTATTCAAAATCTGAATGAGCTTGTAACAAGCTTTATTTTCTTTTACATTATTGACAGCTAAGTTCAATAAAATTAACGCAAAAATGCCTATTATAATGACCACTATTTATATAGTTTCTAAATAAAGTAGATGGACATAGGAAGGGAAGTGCAGGTGTAGCACGAGCATAACAGAATGGTGTCAAGGCGATCGTTTAGCACGTTTCATTATTTTTCAGTTTTAATTTATAAAGTTTTATAATTAAGTTTCAAAAAATATCATCATGGATAACCAAGAGTATCAAATTAAAGTAATTATGAAACTTGTTGAATTGCACATCTCAAAATGCAATACTTATAAAATAAAACTTAATCTAACTAAATACAAATGAACAATCATTTAATTGCAATTTTTTGAAGAACGAATATATCAATTCATTTTCATAAAAAGCCCAGGGGGCTCAGCGGTAAGTATGAAGACTTATAAAGCTACTAACCTGGGTTTGGTACCCTTGGTGAGCATAGCACAGGTTGCCCATTGTGTGGCTTTGTGCTTAACAACAAACAAATGCTCATAAAATAGTACATAAAAACAACAAACCAAAACATATAAAATTTTAAAACTTGCTTAAATGTACTACTACAAAATTAGTGTTAAGTACAATAATCATACTAAAACATATCATAACCAGAATAATGTTTTGCTATTATTGTATGATTTCAGAACTTAGTAGTCAAAATTCCCTTCTTGATGAAATTGTGAAACTTTACGTAGAACACTCTTAACAATAATATATTACAAATATGATTCACAATTAGCATACGAGATGAAAAACTTATCTTTACAAAAATCAAAGTTTTTCGGCCATTGAGATAATATGAAAATATCTTGGACAGCAGATGTCTCTCTGCTTTAATATCCTGAAAATAATCGAAAACTTTTGATCAAAGCAAGCTAATTATATAGATCAGAACTATAAATAATAACTTAGTAAATAATATAGCTGATTACAGATATTGGCCTAATTACAATCAATGTAATCAAACAAACATGATAGGAATGCATCGATACGTCAGTTTGATATCTTCCCTGTTATCAATATCCTAGACGGTAATCCTAATAATACTTAACGAAGTTCAGCAGTTCAGGAGATTATCGTTAGTCCTAATTTTGTATACAAATCTAACAAGAGAAAATAATTTTTACAAGTGTAAAAAAAGTATATATATATATCTTTACACATACATAAAACTAGCTGTTTGTTTCATGTTATATCACCGATTCTTTGCCCTATAACTCTATGCGTAATAGACATGACTCTATGACAGAATATTTAAGCCTACATTACATTGAGATCTAAGTATCATTATGCCTCCTTTATTCCTTAGACCTTAAAACTAACAAGTCTACTTTAAAGGTGCTTGAACACAATGTAAATGTTTTAGGGACCACAGAATATTTATCATTATGCATCCACTGGCTGGCCACTTTATTAAGACCTATACCTAATTATGAGTTGGGCCGCCTTTTTCCCGAATAACGGCCATGACATATGTGGCATAGAATCCATAATGTACTGAAAGGTGTATTGAGAAGCGTGAACAGTTTAAATCACACAAGAGCAGTGAATTTATCCGTGTGGCTTTCTTCAAATTTGTTTTCTCCCTTTTGTGCAAAACAAAAGGGTAAAACATGGCTCATTGGAGCATATAACTTTTCGCCAATCTTCATTAATCCAATGTCTGTGCTCCTTATACCACTCAAGGTTGTTTTCTTGTTTCTAATTAAGATAACCAGTTTGTGCAATGGTCTTCTACTTCTATAGTCCATTCCTTGCAACGTTCTTTGCAAAATACAGCGAAGTTAGTTATGGATTTCTGTGCATTTAATATCTGCCAGTTGGTGTATTGGCTGGTGCCGGTTGAAATGTGCCGTCATATTTAACCGCCTTTCTCTCACTATATGTTTGTAGCGACAATTCCCCTCGCCGCAGACATTTTATTCAACGTTTCTTCGTTGGTTAAACTCAAATGATCGATTTCTTGGAGAAGCTTACCCATTAAACTGCCTTGGCCACTGTAGCACCTGTTAGATATGCACCCATTATCATGCCTGCTTTGAAACCTACAATATATTTGTCTTTCACCGTATTTGTAGACTGACTGCAAATGTGCTTGTCTCACTCATTTATAATGCTGCGAGGAACAACAGACACGTCAAGTGATGAGTCTAATTTTCTTCTGTAGCTCATCAGCTCAGGCCTAAGTTTGAAAGGGTACATATCTCTTAATAAAGTGGTCAACAAGTGCATATAGAATGTTGTAACAAAATATGTGTACCATAGTTATATTCGTACATTTCACTAAGATAACAAGTTAGTGTATATTTCCTCACCATCAAAATCTAATCTACAACTAAAAGCACAAGTATTCTATATAAATGCTTTTATTTTAATATATTTATCACATTTCTGTAGGTTATTTTGTTTCCTGTTCAAGTCCTAAAGTTTACATCTATGTACTTTACAGGATCATTAGTGTCTATTATAATACGTTCCAAGACACGATAATAAGTTCACTGCAATAGACACCATTTGATTGACGAACAAAAGAAATGTGAATAATATATAAAACGAGTATAGCGTATCACAAAAATCTTACTTTCAGAAGCTGGTACATTATTTTAACGCAGTTGATCTCTTAGAAGTATTTATGCGCATGTCGTCACTAGTTTCTGGTGATCGAATTATACGTTTGATTTTACGTGTGTAAAATGAAAGTTGCATAACGTTACAAAATTAGTGTATCTAATCTTTCAACACCATATAGTGGTAAACTTTAATAATTAGTTGTCTCCATAAAATGGTAATAGTGGGTCCAATAAGTGGTTTAAGGTTTGTATAACAAGCTTAACAGATCTCAACTATCTAGTGACTAACACAGAGAAAACAACAGAATACATCCTACACGTACACGGTGTCTGTTTCCTTCGATGAATGATGATGAATCTCCAAACTGATAGCGAAGAAAATTGGAGCTACTTCGCATTTTATTATAAATGTCTCATTTTCAGGAGCTCTAATTTATCAACACCTTCGTTACATTATGCAATCTTATTTTATATCTAACTTGGAATACACGATAGTACACCTTCTGCAATGAGGATTTAAAACTATAAAAGGTAACCCACGAGTATGCGACATTTGATATTGAGTATTGATGATATACACTGTAGTGCTCCTAAGATTCGAAGTGAAAAATTTAACTTCATAACGTCCATTGTCAAAAAGGTCCAGATAACACTGTGGCTTAATGACACGTGGCGGACAGATCCTTTCACATATTATTGGCACAAGTGTTCTAATCGTAAATACGAATTACTGGCGCAAAATTCCTGGACTTTATTATGTACTACTGACACATTGAATTTAACTCATATTATGTACTACTGACCCACTGGGGTCACACATTTTTACTCTACGAAAGACACACATAAACCAATATATTATTCTGCAATTAACTATATGTAATACGCATGAATATTTAAATTCACTTAACATACATATCTTTCATTTACTAAAATACTGATATTTTTAAGGAGTTGTTACTTCCTGATAAAATATAATAATGCTAAAAATAAATGTGAAGCCCAGTCCACCATTCGATTTACCATTTGGCACCATTCAACCATTACATATAATATAATGTTTACGAATATACTAAAATATATATAATGTTTTTTCAATATGTAGCTACATTGTTAAAAGGGTGTAGTATTTCACAGCAAACTCCTTATAGGAATAACGTTGTAAGTTTCAACAATTAATATATCAATGTTTCCAACATTATCACTACTAGTTTAAAATCACAACACTAATTATTTCTGTAGTGCACTAATTGCTAGCAAACATATCATTCTAATGACTTTGCAAAATAAAATCTGTTTTTTTAATACAATATAGGACAATGAATTTTACGAAACAATTACGATGAAAAATGGGGTAGGAAAATTTACTTCATTCTGTACATCCACTAAGCTCGTAAAATTTCTCTTTCGAAAAAGTAATACATGTTTCCACATTTGAACGGACACAAAATAAAGCATTTGACAGTTAGTTTAAACGTCTAAGAAGAGAGAAAAAATATTCAATTTCTAGTAGCTTCTTCGAGGAAATGAGTAGATTTTTCAGACAAAGGATTGGAAAACGACTTCATCTTAATCAGAGGAGGGAGAGGAACATTCACCCTGTTGCAGTTGCTAGCTGTTACGATGACGTCAGTTGTTGTACGGAAGGAGCTGGAATAACGGCTACGGGTGAAGGGGACGTTTAATCTTGTAATTCTTTTCGTTCTCCACGTGTAGCAGAGAAAACAAATTTGTTTCAAATCAGCCTAAGATAAGAAACAGAAACAGTCAAGTAATAACAGCGTTTGATCTTAAATATCTAACTAGGCCATTTAAATTAAAAATTTAAAAACCATTTTACAATTGCACTGAATTACTTGTTGTTTAAAAATTAGCTTCTTCACAAAAAAGTACCTTATATGATGCTGGTCTTGCTACACAAATATTTCTGCTGAGCTACTTTTGCAAGTACACTTATATTCAAAATTCTGAAACTGTATTATTCATGACATTTACCTTTAACGTAAAATAAAAACTGGTAATACACACACACGCGCATACGGATATCATGAAAGAGTGAGGGCTTTAATTTGTCTAATTACTTGACAATACTTGAACTATGGGAGAACAATTATGTACAGTTAAAATTCTTTTGATTTCATATTTTTTGCACCTTAAGAAAAATAGCTGCTATCCTATAAGTAAGGTCCCCTGATGGAACAGCAGTAAGTTTACGGACTTATAACGCTAAAATCCGGGGTTTGATTCCCCGTGGTGGACACAACATATAACCCAATATGGCTTTGCTCTAAAAATAAACAAGCTATAAACAGGATGGAAAAGTAATGTTTGTAATTTCAGATCAAACTAGTTTAAGTTCATTGATAACAGAAAAGTTTCTCGAATACTTCTGTTGTAAATGTAATATTTTAACTTTGTTGTCGCTCAATGCAACAACAATGTTTGTCAACATAAATTACGGAACGTCAGTATCTAAAGAGAGGCTAGACTACTGATAACGTAATCCCCAAACGATGAAGTCCAACTTTATGGATATGTTTTTATGTTTAGTGACAACAAGTCAGTTATATGGAGTTTTTAGTGTATCTCTATGACGTATGTAAATCATATTACCAGAAAATATCTATTTAAAAATTGTAAATGCTGAGTTTTAAAATTCTTAGTGGCTTTGGGCCCTAATAAAGTGACGTTTCAAAGTGCAACTGCTGCTTTGTAAAGCGATATCCATTTCGAGGCTTTAATACTGTTGAGCATTTGTAACATATCATTAATGTTTTATCTACAGATGTTTAATAACGCTTATCAAATTATTATGCTTGCCAAGTGATTGCATGGATGAAATATGGTCGTTCGAGGCTGTGATAAGTGAATATTGTAAATCTAACGACGGGTTCCCATACTTTAAATTCTAATATAAAACTCGTGTAATTCTACTGCTTCAAACATTGGGATTCTAAATTGTTAAGTAAAGTGAAGTCTCACAGCAGTTAATATGTCAGTCGACGTTAATGCTGTTTAATTAGATAATCAATGGTACTTTTTCCAATTTAAAAGAAGTGTACAATTTTTAAACTGCTGAATTACATATCTTGATATTTGAAGATAACATATGGATCATTGTTCCAAATATGAAATATAAAGTAGTGAAATAAAATTTTTAAAAACGTCAATTGATAGAAAATAGAGCTGAAAATTTGGCTGACTTGCCAGCATTTGACTGAGTTGATCAACATAGATTCTCATAAATATAGTAAGAAAAAAAGCTACGTGTTAACTTGAGTTTCTTTTCATGTACATAAAAGTGAGTTTTTTCGTTGTTGTTTTTGTTTTCTAAATCTATAGCTATCAGATATTTAACACACACTACCGCTGACTTATTCTCTAACTATCACTCAAGTACACTGTTACTTTTAGGCCAGACGTAGTCACACAGCGATCCGGACCAAATGTGAATATGTCACATTTTCACAAACAAAAAAATCGCACTCCGCACTTTGAGACCGTGGATGTATTATAAGAGTTAAATCAAACCCAACTATTTGATTAATCGAAACCCTGCACCGAACACGATAACCCTTTCTTCCTTGAGGGCGTTATAATATGACGATCAGTCTCACTATTCGTTACTAAAGAGTAGCCCAAGAGTTGGCGGTGAGTGATACCGGCCAGTTGTCTTCCTTCTGGTCGGCAGTTCAAAATTCGGAACAGCGACAGATAGCCCTAACAGCTTTGCGAGAAACAGTCAACAATAAATGTTCTATTCCCTTGATAAATTTACAGACATACAGCACTAAAGTTTCGTATTAGATTCCACGAGATGAACAGAGCATACATAACCCATTTTATAGATTTGCGCTGAATAACAACATCCTCTAAATGTTCCAGCATGAAATACAAAATTATTTCGATACTAAGTAAATACAAAAATAAGTAAATAAATGAAGTTCAGTTGCACTTTGGACCGGTAACACCAGAAATATCTTCGATACTGGCAGATTTAAAATGATAATTTTAGTGAAGAAAGCATTAGTAGGACTTTGTATTCACAGGTTTGTGACTATTTGTCTGAATTATTCCGAACGGATAAGAAGATTTGCTGGAAATTTTTACAAAAGTATCTCAAATTCCTTGGTGCCTTTCCTGAGCTTTGGTTTGTTTTGAATTTCGCGTATAGCAGCTATTCGAGAGCTATCTGCACTAGCCGTCCCTAACTTAGAAATGGTAGACTAGAGGGAAAGCAGCTATTCAACACCACCTACCACCTACTATAGGGCTATTCTTTTACTAAAGAATAGTGGGATTGACCATACCATTATAAAGTTCCCACTGCTGAAAAGGTGAGTATATTCGGTGACGGTGATTCGAACCCGCGACCCACAAATTGCAAGTCGAGCGCCGCCTAAACAAAATAAGTGGTCTCTTTCTGCTGTAACCCGGCAAGGAATGTCTGGACATACACATTCATCGAGACAAATACGTGTGTCGTGATAATGATTGTT